ACCGCAAAAATTCGTTTGGCATTTTGCAGGTATTATTAAAAATGACTCAATAAAAAAATTAATTATAACTAAACAAAATAGAATTATTCTGCTAACAGATTAAAAAATAGATAGAGTTAAACAATTAATATTTTCAAAACCGTAGAGCCATGCAGCTATATTAGTATTTAGTAGTATAATTGTAGCACGCATGGGTCGGCTTGACAGGGGAAGGACCACGCTCTCACAGAATACCGGCGTAAAATGGCAGCTTGACGCTGTGTTTCGGATGGTAAGTGTAGAGAACCGGAGACCTATTTTACTGGAAAAAAAGGCGTTCCATCTTAGTCCTCACGGATGACGACGCATCTGCATTTTGATTCTTCATTGAGGATAAATGTAGATGTCTATGGGTCACAGCAACCACTTACCATCAGGCTGACTGTGTGCTCGTTTGTTACCCTATCCTATAAAAAAATGCGGACTTGATAAATCTACACCATAAGCCACTAAAACCAAAAAATAAGTAGTCAAAAATAGCAATTAATCGATTTAAAAAAAATTATAAGTTCAACAATCATTTATCTTTCTGACAATGTGGTTTTTATATCATTTATATGTTCAATATAATTGTTAGATGCGATTTTATGCGACAAAACATTGGAATCTTGATTTTTAGGCGCTAGTAGAACATACCTACGCGTTTTGCGCTAGACATGATTGTCGATGTAAAATAATGAGCTTCTTTAGACATTTTTTTTACTTATGCACTAATATATTTTAAAAATATTTTGATCCTGTATAAATGCAACCAGTATGTATGTCACTAAGATGGATTAATTTCATAGGAATTAATGATATACTTACAACTGGTAAGCAACCTGTCTTTGCCAATTTCTTTAGGAATGCCACAAAGCACGGGCCTTAGCCACCTGCATCCATCGGCTTCCTGCATGTCTTACCAGGTCGTCACTCCATATAGTGGAGGGTCGCCTTACACTTCATCTACCGGTACTTGGCTGCCACTCGAGAACCTTTCTTCCCCATCAGTTGTCAATTCTTCGGCCCATTGCCACCTCAGTTTATTACACTTAGCTTATAAAACATGCAGTATGGTAATGAAAATGGGTGGCTCGTGTTCGAACAGTTCAAATCCCGTTTCTTGAATGGCAGCCATCGCAACTGCGGCTTTGTGACCCGGAGCGTTGTCTTGATGAAACAGCTTTCCAGCTCGCAACTTGCCGCGTCTTTTTCTTTAATAGCCTCCTGCAATCTTCTTATTTGGCCTGCGTAGTCGAAAGTATAAGCCCGAAATAATGGCTCCCTTTTCCAAATATTCCACCATAATTATTCCTTCAGCGTCTCCAAAAACTGACACGATAACCTTTCCCGCCGAACTTGACACTTTGAATTTCTTTGGCGTTGGGAGGAGGCTCGGTTCCAAACCGTTGATTGTTGTTTGGTTTCAGGATCTAAATGGTAGATCCAGGTCTTGCCCATGGTCACGAAACGTAATAAAAAAAACTGATCTGCTTGGAACCTTTCGAGATTCACCCTCAAAATGTCGACAAATTTTTTCTTTTACTCGTCGGTTAACATTCTAGGTACCCAACGTGCAGGAGACCCTTTTCATATGCATTTCGTTCGCAAGGATTCTTTGAAACTGGCATATGAGATATCTGTGACCTCAGCTACGAGGGCGGCAATGAAAATTTCGGTAATCAAAGAAGTGACACAACATTACTATTTAAAAATGTATTTATTGCTTTTCGAAGTATTCTCCGCGAAATTTGACACATTTTTCCATACGATGGAACCAATCATTGAAGCAACCATTCCATTCGGAAGTTGGGGTCTCCAAAATGGCCGTTTTGTAGGCGTCCACAGCTTCTTCAGGTGATGAAAATCTCTGTCCACGCAATTTATTCTTTATTTTAGGGAAACTATAGAAATCATTAGGGCTTAGGTCGGGGCTGTACGGCGGATGGTCTAATAAATTCTATGTTTTCTTGCTCTAAAAACTCTTTTGTTCTGTGTGCGGTGTGAGAACTCGCATTGTCGTGATGGAGAATGATGCGGCGGTTGCAGTTCTCTTTACGGAGTTCAGAAACGACCTGTGCCAAACAAATGCTAGCATACCATTCTGCATTAACCGTTCTTTGTCCCTCAAGAGGAATAGTCGTAACATGGCCGGTTTTGGAGACAAACGTGGCCACCATTTTTTTTGCAACACCGTGAACGAACAATTTTTGTTGGCTTTAACTCATTTTCGAACACCCAAACTCGTGACTGGTTTTTTGTTCCGGGTTCGTACGCGTATATCCAGGATTCGTCACCTAATACGATGTTGTACACAGCATTTGAGGATCCTGCGTGGAATCTTTCGAGAGTTCTGACGCCCCAAGTAACGCGAGCCGCTTTTTGCTCTTCACAGAGCGAATGCGGTATCCATCGGGAAAACAACTTTTTTACACCTAATTGTTTATGCAAGATTATTTGTATTTGACTCATGCCAATGTCTAAAGTTGCCTGAATTTCGCGGTATGTCACGATCTTCCTCAATCAGCTTACGCACAGCATCAACGTTTTCTTGGGTGACTGCAGTTTTTGGACGACCTTGACGGGGATCATCACTGAGCTTGACACGTCCACGTTGAAATTCAGCAAGCCAGCGATAAATTGTGGTTTTGGATGGGGCTTCATCACCAAATGCAGAAATCATCCGGGCAACACACTGTTTTTGTATTAAACCACTTCGAAAGTCATAATAAATCATCGCTCTTGAATTTTCTCGAGTCAATTCCATTTTCTCAACGACTAAACAAGTTTGACAAAACCTTGTGACAAGACCGACAATCTTTTTTAAAATAAATAAATGGTATTCGATTTTTAAAACCAAGGAGTTTTCAATTAAAAAGATTTTAATATGATAGGAACAGTGGAAATATTCCATTCCCGATACTTTTAGTGCAGCCTATGTATATGCCTGATGGTCACTCTTCGTTCTACGAATACGACATCTTCGACTGTTTTCACGTTAACTTCAGTGAAGGATGTGGATGGGCGTTCATCTTCCGTGGATGTTCAGCCCAGCGTGCAGTTGTGGAAGGAGCAGAGTCCCTCTATGTTTCACCAAGTCGCTGTGTAGTTTTTTAAACAGAGGGAGCTCTCATTTAAATTTTCTTCATTTTGATGTTCTCTTTGATGATTCGTATTCAAATGAATGTACCTCTCGGGAGTCGTAGCCTGTTTATATGATTTTTTTAAATTCTGATCTAGTGGATACATAAGCAAGCAAAAAAGTTTTTTTCGGATTTTTATGTGCACTGGAAATAACCTATTATCATTATTATCATATATTATTATTAGTATATAAAACACTATTATCATTTTGGATCACCCCTCGTATTTAGGAATACGATTTTTCATAAAGGTTCCGGTTCCATTTATATTTCTCTCCACTGTTTTCCAATAGAGGAATAAATGTGTGTGGAATAGCGGTTTTTTTTAAGTTTCATGCAAGTCTTTTCATTGTTGCTCTGCATCTAGCTTCGATTGTTAAGTTTTTTACATTAGTGCCTGCCAGTATCTGGAGACCTTCCGTACAGGCCCTGACGTTTGGCGCGTAAAAAATAAAATGGCCTAGCGCTTGACGGGTTAGCAAAAATCAATATTTAAGGTTAACTGAGAGGTGTAGCCTGATGATATATTATTCATATACCATTCCTCATGAAAAAACCCTTCCACTTTATTATATTAGTATAGATTAGAAAGTTATAATGCAGTTGTTGTGTTATGTTCATGTTATTTTTATGTTTATGTCATATTCTCTTACTCTTTAGGTGTTGTTCTAAGCTTATGGAAGACAGCCTTAGGGCATACGATTCCTAATAAAGGCTGGGACCTATCCAAATACAGGCCTATCGCCGTCACCTCCTTGTTCTCCAAAATAATGGAATCCATTATTAACTGCCAGCTCACGCGGTACCTTGAAGAGCTACATCGAAGCTGTTAGGATCGATAGAACCGAAACGGCGTGTATGTATGTATACATACATACTAAATACATACATACCTACTTACAAATTAACTATTTTATGGGGGCCAGTGGAGACCGGACCTGGGTTGCTAGCGTACTGTGAAATTTTACGGCAAACTCCAAGCCCCCGAGCTACCAGGGCTTGTTGTGAATCTTTGTATGGCTTACAAATAATTCCTCTATCTTATTCTTCCCGTAAACTTTCACTGCTGAACATGGAAAGATCTCTCCCGATGTAGGGAGGATTTGTCTTGAGCGTCACGCTTGGCATAGGACTAACGATCGCAGAACCAGACGTGAGCACCTCTGACAATGTCGCTTGGCGCCGGTCTGGATATTTTACATCTGAAGTAAACGAGGTGGTTATACCGCCATCTGTCGGAAGCCATCAGATTTTCTGGTAAACCCGTAGTCATCTCTTACGAAACCCACGGGATAAAATGTGATGATAAATTCATTTATGCCGCACTTACGCCAACTTCGATTGTACTGTGTGTATAAAACTAGTTCTGTGTGGAATTCGAAACAGTAATTATTAGATTAATGTAATTATAACATGGACAGAAGAACCATTCTTTCCCTCAAAAATTAATATGAGAGACATTATTCGGGGTAAATGACTAAAATGCTTTATATCTAGCAACATTATTTAGTATAATTATTTAAAATATTACAATTTCTCTATTTCTGCCTGGGTTAACCGATAGAGAATGCCATAAGGCATAAACTCCGCCCATTGTAAACCGTTTAAGGTGTCTTGCAATAAAGATGCAATAACTTACAATAAATAAAAAGTTTAACTTCGACAAATCATTTTTCAGAAACTTCTGAAAAGAATATTAAATCAAATTCTACTGATTGTAACACAAACGATGTTCGTGAAGAAAACCTCGACTTTGAAGGCACTCCTATTGAATCAAACCCTAAAATGAAAAAAGATAATCAACCAATTAATAAAAAAGGAAAGCATACTGCAAAGATAATGAAAAAGAAAATTTTGGAACAAAAGAGTGTAAATATACTTAAGAAAAAAACATCTGAGACATCAACTAAATACATTTTTGAATCTTATGATTGTACTAAAAAATTTCCAACAAAAGTCATTCTTGTCAAACATATTTCATACATTCATAAGACGCAAAAGAACTCAGACACCACTGCAGTTTGGACACAAGTAGATCAAACTCCAGTACCACAACAAATAGAAAAATTTAATTGTGATATTTGCGAATTTAAAACATCTCAAAAACGTTGCATTTTGTCACATCTTAAAGCGCACGTCGCTAAACAAATTTACTGTTGTAATAATTGTGAATATAAATGTTTTAGAAAAAGTGATTTGCAAACCCATATGAAAATATACACCGGTGAAAACCCTTTTTCGTGTAATATCTGTGAATATAGATGTATTTTAAAAAGTACTTTGCGAACACATATGAAAACACACACCGGTGAAAAACCTTTTTCGTGTAATATCTGTGAATATAGATGTATTAGAAAAAGTGATTTGCCATCCCATATGAAAATACACACCGGTGAAAAACCTTTTTCGTGTAATATCTGTGAATATAGATGTATTAGAAAAAGTACTTTGCGAACACATATGAAAATACACACTGGTGAAAAACCTTTTTCGTGTAATATCTGTGAATATAGATGTATTACAAAAAGTACTTTGCGAACACATACGAAAATACACACCAGTGAAAAACCTTTTTCTTGTAATATCTGTGAATATAGATGTATTAGAAAAAGTAAGTTGCAAACACATATGAAAATACATACCGGTGAAAAACCTTTTTCGTGTAATATCTGTGAATATAGATGTATTAGAAAAAGTGATTTGCAAATACATACGAAAACACACACCGGTGAAAAACCTTTTTTGTGTAATATCTGTGAATATAGATGTATTACAAAAAGTAGTTTGCGAACACATATGAAAATACACACCGGTGAAAAACCTTTTTCGTGTAATATCTGTGAATATAGATGTATTACAAAAAGTAGTTTGCAAAAACATATGAAAATACATACTGGAGAAAAACCTTTTTCGTGTAATATCTGTGAATATAGATGTATTACGAAAAGTAGTTTGCAAAAACATATGAAAATACATACTGGAGAAAAACCTTTTTCGTGTAATATCTGTGAATATAGATGTATTACAAAAAGTAGTTTGCAAAAACATATGAAAATACATACTGGAGAAAAACCTTTTTCGTGTAATATCTGTGAATATAGATCTATTACAAAAATTAGTTTGCAAAAACATATGAAAATACATACTGGAGAAAAAACTTTTTCGTGTAATGTCTGTGAATATAGATGTATTACAAAAAGTAGTTTGCAAAAACACATGAAAATACACACCGGTGAAAAACCTTTATCGTGTAATATCTGTGAATATAGATGTATTACCAAAAGTAGTTTGCAAAAACATATAAAAATACATACCGGTGAAAAACCTTTTTCGTGTAATATCTGTAAACATAGATTTATTAGAAAATATGATTTGCAAAGACATTTAAAAACACACACTGGCGCAAATTCTTTTTCGTGAGCTATCTGGTAAAATATGTACAATATTGTGTAAACGTGTTTTATATAAATATGTGTGTACCAAATAAAAATCTATGTTTTGTGAATTTGTGATGTAATTGTATAACGAGTAGAAAAACCTTTCTGTGCCTTATGTGCAAATTGAAACTGCATTTATTCTGCAGAAGTTAATTCAATACCTAATTCAATATATTGTACAACCGAATTCAATATAAATTATTAAGGATAATTCAAAAACTATTGATCGGACAGTCATATGGGGCTACATGTGAAGCACCAGCTTTCAAATTAAAAACGAATTATCGATATCGAGGTAATAAACATTAAAAAAGAACATACAGTCGAATTGAGTACCTTCTCCTTTTCGAAGTCGGTAGGAAGCAAAAAAATATTTGAACCTTAAAATAAATACCGAATGTGTGAATGGAGGTTAGTGGAAACAAACTAGACCTTCATGTTTTTTTTAAATTTAAATGATTGTTTTTTTTTCGTTTCGACCTTTGTCTTTATCAGGCTTCCCCCAGGGATTGCGTCATATTTGCCTTAGTTGCCATGCAGGTGGGTTGGCCACTGCGGTTTTTTATTATTTTCAGTTGTAAGGGAGACGCTGCTGCACATCTCCTAGTTTGTTTCCCTCTGTCGCCTCTTACGAACCCACGGCACGATATGGGGTAGTGGATTGTCTTACACCATTATCACACTGCATTATAACTAATTATGCTTGTAGCATAAATGGATAAACATAAATGCATACACGTTAAAACGTTTCTCGAACGTTCACACCCCTTAATCTTTCGGGATTTCGGGGTGAGCGTAAGAGGACATTATACCGTATCATAACAACATTATACCGACGATACGGGACCGGGAGACCGGACCTGTAACTTTGGTAACATTTATTAGTTAACAACATATAAAACTATTACCCTGGACGGTGGATCACTTGGCTCGCGGGTCGATGAAGAATGCGTTAACTGCGCGTCATAGTGTTCGGCGGGATCGGCGAGAAAAAGACCACGCATCTTTATTTATATATATTTGAACTTAAGTTTAAAATTTGGCTACTCTTTGAAAAATAACCCCGTGTAAGACAGAGCTTGCACAACAACTTGCTTGGATGAACACATGCGGTATAATGGTGAATGTTGTCCGAGAACCGTTCTACAAAGCGGAAGACTAAATGTTTTACGATGCAGAACGCGACTATTAGCACGAAGTATTAAGAATGTATACGCTCTGAGATTATTGGTGAATCAATATAACCATTAATCAATTTATACAAAAAAATTATATCAAACATTTTCCTACGCGTACCTCTGATTGTAATTATACATTTTCCGCAAGAAGTTTAGTCATTTCACTGCTATTTTCATCATTTAACTTTACTTGTTGATCATGAAAATCTGAAAGAAATTCTAAAGAAAATTTCTTTCACACAGGCGTGAGTGTTTTGTATCCGATGTCTTTCTCAAACCACAGAATAAATAATTGCTTAAACGAGGAATATTTTAATATATTGATATGTCTTGGAAAATTCGGTGAAAGATGGATTGGCCGTGGTGGACCGAACAGGTGAACTGGCTGGCGCGATCACCTGATCCCACACCTTTGGATTTTTATCTCCATGGTACGATTAAGCAGTCACTTCGTATTTCAAAAAACATTCGATATCGGGGCGGAAATGGGTATGCGAATAGCCGCAGCCTTTGCAAAAATAAAGTCTGAAATATTTGTTCTGCAACGTGTGTGTTCAGATATTATAATATTAATTTAAGCCGGTGTCACAAGTGCACAGAGATAAAAGGTGGTCGTCAAGTAAATATTATATGTAGTGATGAATCAGGCTTTGTGCATAATTATCACAATCGGTCAAAGTAAAATTTAAAAAAGTTGTGATAATCGATTACTAAAGTGATAACAGCTGAGTGATGTGACGAGTTCACGACCTTAAAAAATAAAATGGCCTAGCGCTTGACGGGTTAGCAAAAATTAATATTTAAGGTTAACTGAGAGGTGTAGCCTGATGATATATTATTCCTATACTGTTCCTTATGAAAAAACCCTTCCACTTTATTATATTAGTATAGATTACAAAGTTATAATGCAGTTGTCGTGTTATGTTCTTGTTATTTATATGTTTATGTCATATTCTCTTACTTCTTAGGTGTCGTTCCAAGCTTATGGAAGAGAGCTTTAGTGCATTCGATTCCTAAAAAAGGCTGGGACCTATCCAAATACAGGCCTTTCGCCGTTACCTGCTTGTTCTCCAAAATAATGGAATCCATTTTTAACTGCCATTTCACGCGGTACCTTGGAGAGCATAAGCTGATTAGTGACCAACAATACGGTTTCCGTCGAATCTTAATCTTTCCGTAAACTTCCACTGCTGAACATGGAAAGATCTCTACCGATGTAGGGAGGATTTGCCTTGAGCGTCACGCTTGGCATAGGACTGACGATCGCAGAACCAGACGTGGGCACCTCTGGCAATGTCGCCTGGCGCCGGTCTGGATATTTTACACCTGCAGCAATCGAAGTGGTTGTACCGGCATCTGTGGGAAGCTATTAGATTTTTATTGGCAAACCCATTTTTTTTTATATGATAAGGGTGACAAATGAGCACACAGTCCACCTGATGGTAAGTGGTTACTGCGGCCCATAGACATCTACATCTATCCACTATTACAAATCAAAATGTAGATGCGTTGTCACCCGTGAGGACTAAGGTGGAATGCGTCATTTCCAGTAAAAAGGGCCTCCGGCCACCTGCACTCACCAAGCGAAACGCAGAGGTAAACCTCTACTTCACGCTGGTTTTCTGTGAGGTCGTGGTACCACCCCGGTTCGAGCCGGCCCATCCGTGCGACAGCAAAAGCTGCCGCGTCGCCTCTTACGAAACCCATGGGAATAAATGTGATGAAGAATTCTCTTATGCCGCACTTACACGCCAACATCGACTGTACTGTGTGTATAACACTAGTTGTGTGTGGAATTCGAAACAGCGATTATTAGATTAATGTAATTATAACATGGTCAGAAGAACCATTCTTTCCCTCCAAATATGAATACGAGAGCCATTATTCGGAGTAATTGGCTAAAATACTTTATATCTAGCAACATTATTTAGTATAATTATGTAAAATATTACAATTTCTCTATCTCTCCCTGGGTTAACTAACATCCCATAAGGCATAAACTCCGCCCATTGTGAACTGTTTAAGGTGTCTTGCAATAAAGATGCAATAATTTAAATAAATAAAAAGTTTAACTTCGACAAATAATTTTTCAGAAACTTCTGAGAAGATTAAATCAAATTCTACTGATTGTAACATAAACGATGTTCGTGGCGAAAACATCGAATCAAATTCCTATTGAATCAAACCCTAAAATGAAAAAAGATTATCAACCAATTAATAAAAAAGGAAAGCATCTTGCAAAGATAATAAAAAGAAAATTTTAAAACAAAAAAGTGTAAATATACTTAAGAAAACAACATCTGGAACATCAACTAAATACATTTTTGAATGTGATGGTTGTAGTAAAAAATTTTCAACAAAAGACATTCTCGCCAAACACATTTCATACAGTCATAAGACGCAAAAGAACTCAGACACCACTGCAGTTGGGACACAAGTTGAACAAACTCTAGTACCACAACTAAGAGAAATATTTAATTGTGATATTTGAGAATTTAAAACATCTCAAAAACGTTACGTTTTGGCACATCTTAAAGCGCACGTCGCTAAACAAATGTACTGTTGTAATAATTGTGAATATAAATGTTTTAGAAAAAGTAAGTTGCAAACACATATCAAAATACATACCGGAGAAAAACCGTTTTCGTGTAATGTCTGTGAATATAGATGTATTACAAAATGTAGTTTGCAAAAACATATGAAAATACATACCGGTGAAAAACCTTTTTCGTGTAATATCTGTGAATATAAATGTATTACAAAAAGTGATTTGCAAAAACATGAAAATACACACCGGTGAAAACCCTTTTTCGTGTAATATCTGTGAATATAGATGTATTAGAAAAAGTAATTTGCAAGCACATAATATGAAAATGCACACCGGTGAAAAACCTTTTTCGTGTACTGTGAACATAGATTTATTAGAAAATGTGATTTGAAAAGACATATGAAAATACACACCGGTGAAAAACCATTTTCGTGTCATATCTGTGAATAGAGATGTATTACAAAAAGTAATTTATTTATTTATTTTTTATTTATTTATTTCAACTAACAACTATCATAACAGGAAGAAAACCTAATGCGACAGTGTAGTACTTATCATGCATAACAAAAATGTGGTCATTATCTGTAACAAATTGCAAGCAATCCTACCCTAGTGAACTCACTCAAGGTGCAATAGAATAAGTCAATGCCTTCAGCCATTCTATTAAGAATGCGTAACGTTCGCGTTAAAGGCGCCTTATCGAGTAAATTGGTACGGGCTCGCGGCACAGACAGCAGCCGCGGCCGCCGCCGTTTCCATACGTACCCGTCTGGAACACACAGCCCAATTTGCCCCAATATGTCACTATTATATATTTTTCCTCTAAGTATTTTAAAAATATATAAGGCAAATGCTAGGTCTCGTCTTACCCTCAACTCGTTGTAGCCAACCATACCCAGAATAAATAAAGTTGGGTACATTAATGGATACATAGGGTAGATTCCATAATAGCGCATATATAAGTATCTTATAAATTTATTTTGCACTCGTTCCAGCATTGCACTATACCCATTTTCGTGCGGTGACCATATTAAGGCGTTACACTCCAGATTACTCCTTACCAGCGTGTTATACAGAGTGATGATTACCTTAATGTTCGTGAAGCCGTGAACTGTGCTAAGAATGAAGCCCAAGTTTCTATACGCTTTTTTGCAGCAATAGATAATGTGTTCCCTAAATGTTACTTCACTATTTAGTAGAACGCCTAGATCTTTAACTTCGTGAACTCTTACAATTTGCAAACCATCCACTTCATAG